AGTACCTTCTGGAGATTCTAAGAGATAATGCACTCTGTGTTTTTATAGAGAAGAAAAGTATTATCTGGAAAAATCAACATAATCAATAAACCAAGGTCATATTTACCACACTGCCTGCTTCTTAGCCTAATGGTAAACTGTATCAACTATCTCAAGATTACTTCAAAGTTTTCATTGTCCAAGCTCTAACCCTAACACTTCACAATAGACAACCATTTGAACTGAGGTTCTTAGTCTAGGTTTAGGTTAAATAATTGGTAATCATAACACTTATACCATAAGAATATGCACACACAGTGAAAATGTTTACTAATATAAGAAAAGATATCCTATAGAAACCAAGGAAAAAGGGAAAAAAAACAGTACAGTAAATTAGAAAGTGCTAAAATGCCTACTACAACCTTGGTCAATTGCCAGCTACTAGTACATTTCAAAAATTAATTACCTCCTTATGAATTTCAAAATATTGAAATAAAATATTTTTAACTTGGTTGCAGAAACTGTAAGTATAATCTTTAATTATAATTTAGATCTACAACATTTTTGGGACAATTACACTAGTTAATGATTCCAAGAAATCAATGTGTGTGTGTGTGTGTGTGTGTGTGTGTGTGTGTGTGTGTCTGCATATTTTTTTGGTTCTTAATTCTTTTTGCTATGCTGCTTTTTTTCTCTCAGGCTAATGTCATAACAAATCTACATCACTGACCTGAATAAAAGAAATTAGGAATTTAGGTTTTGCTACTGACTATGCTCACTGATTAGAAATAAAAGTGTATATGCTAAGCTACTAAAAGTAAAACTACATTTGTTCTTTACTTTTGTTCTTCATTAACAGATTGTTTATGTAAGATATTCATTAGATAGCTCCACATCCACTTTGACTTGTAGGTAATACTATGTCTACGTTTTCCCTTCCCATCATAACATTCTTTTTTATTTAGAGTGTCACAGCCACGTCTCATTGCTCAAGCTATTGCTCCATCCATACTAAACATAAATTCAAACTTTGCCTCCTTACTTATCTTGATTTCCAGTAAAAATAATATCAACATGGAAATCATTCATTTTGATCATCATGAAGACCAAATTGTTTCTCTCCATAAAATGTATATATGTTTTTTTAGTTGAGCACCATCTTCCCTAATAGACTTACAATGTGAGTAAAAAGATGTATTTGTATGTGTCTCTGTTACTTGTGTCTATAGGTTATTCAACTTTAATTTTTCCCAGCTGCATCTTTCTTCTCTAGATTTGGACAAATATCAATAATACCTGTTGAGTGATCAAACTATCTCCTGGTCCTCAATTAACATCTTCCCTGTATTACACATTATTCGTATTTCAGCTATCTGTGTATTGCCTCTCAACTCCAAATCCACCCTTCTTTCATTTCCTTTGTGATACCTGATGGATCCTATAAATACTGCTCCTCTGCCAGTTCACACAATGTCAGGCTTTGTCAATAGAGGGTGCTGGAGGGACACTCCAATGTAGTCAAAAGAGAAGGGCGCTTTTCTTTCTTGGTCTCTTTCTGGGTCACGTGCATTGTCATTTTTTTGGTACAGCTTCAAAGGACTGACATGCTGTGAGTTTTCAGCCCATGCAGCATATTTCTGTAGACCAGCTTCAGCATATACCATCACATGTTTCTTCACCACCAGTAGCTGCATGTTCCTGTAGCAGCAGCACCCCTCCAGTGAGGTCAGAATTCACAGATCTTAGGGGGAAAGGGTGCTCTTTCAAGTCCTCAGTTTCTTCCTGATTCTGGAAGTGGTGACACTGCAACCCTAGAAGTAGATGTTCTGTCTGCATTTGTTAATTCTGTATTGCTTGGAATCTTCTTTTATCCATGTTTTAAAACGAATTTAACTGTCTTTTATTAGTTAATAATTCTTTATATCAGATTTTCCCTATGATGTTCTATGACTGGACTGTGTTTACATAGTATGCTCCCATTTAGTAGGTTTGTGATTAACTAGACTTCCTCTAAAACAACTGTTGGCAAGCCCGACTAAATGAGGTAAATAAAGACAGAAATAAAGTAGGAAATCTGACAAGAGCAGAGCAATTTCTTAGAAATTTTTTAGGCTAGATGCATTAAGGGAAATGTATCACTAGAGAAAATGTCTAGGGCCTTCAAGATTTTCAAAAACGTACTAAGATGCTGAATATGCATTCCATTTTTGAGAATACATCTATATTTGGGTGTGCATACACATACTTACACACACATGTATTCTGAAATATAAAAAGAAAACTAAAAAATCAAAGTAAGTGATTTTTTATTTAAATGTTATCAACTGAAATTCCACTCAATGCAACCTATGTTGGTAGTGTGAGTATATTTTAATGTTTATTATAACTTGTGGTAGAATCCCCCCAAACAAGAAAGCATATCTTGAGTCTGCTAAAAAATTTTAAAGTTCTCGGGTTCAATTTACTGATGAAACACAACTGTTTTTAGTTCATTTCAGACATAAAGGAGCTAAATATGTTCCATTGCTAATGACTATATACCTAACATCAACTACCAATTTTCTAAATATGTTAGCGATCCAAAGAATAGTCACAACAAGGAGAGGTAGAGAATTAATCTAATCCATTATCGCCACTGGAAAACAAATGACTTTGTATATTTTGGCATACAAGTATGATGTGAGTTTGTGTAAAATCCCCAAATATCAAACATGTCTTGCTAGAAACATACATGTTTGCATGTATGTATGTATATATGTATATACATATATATATATAGAGAGAGATGTTTTGGCTAAAATAATTCACTTTGCAAAAATATAAAACTAAAATTTCAATGCAGTAACTGCTACTACTGAAATTTACAACATGAAAAAAATCTACAATATTGAAAATGTACTGATATTTGGGAGTCGTATCATTTGTCTTTCTGCTTTGGCTGATAATAAGACACAAATTAACCAGATATAAGAGTCACAATTTATATAATATGCTAATTTCTCAATGTAGTAGTTAACAAAATTCTGACTCTACTTAATTTTTGATAGAAATTAGGTATTTATTTGCACTGTGTCTCTCTAATATTTGGGAACATTTAAGACAATCTGCACTAAGACAAAGAGTATTTACTGGGACAAAATTATATTTATAGCCAAACAATAACATTTGGAATGCACACTCTTACTAAAAATAAATAGTCTTTGTCATCATTATAAGGATATGTCCACTTAAATTGACCCATGGAAAGAGGCAGATTAATATTTCAGGTCAAAATATACAATAATGCAAGGGGAAAAGGAGGGTTATACTGAAGAACAGGATTTTTTCCTCTTGTACCAGAATCGTACCTAAGACCCAGAATTGAAGGAGAAAAATAAAAGCACTTAAATCATGACATTCCCATTTTAAAGAATTTTAATGGACTGCCAACATTCAGTATCAACCACCTCCCCAAAGGTGGGGATCACCCCTCAACATGTTCAGGCACCCAGGTCAATATAAGAAAAGGTCTCTGAGGTCAGAGATGTGGCTCTGATGGAATAAACAGCATATTTTTTCCCATAAAAGTGAAATTTAGGTTCCCTAATGGAAACCTAGGGAGCTCCTGATAAATTAGCTGGTAATGTTTATGAAAGCTTGCAAAAATGGAATACTTTTTGTTTCGTTAGTTTATCCAGGTAGAAAATGTCCAAACTTGTCAATTTTCCCCCTGAGTTATCAGAGAAAGGGAAGAATTTGAGGAGAAATGACACAGTGGGGAATACTGGGCAAAAAGGGACAAGGGCTTCTCGGTGTCTGGGTCATAAGGAAGATGAATGTCTAAAGAATCATGAAGTCCTAGAGAGAAGGATGCCTGAGGGGTGAATGAGCCACAGATTTGGCAGGGAGGTAGCAGGGGACAAGAGACATGCACATCAAGGGAATATAAAGTAAAGCAAATGTCAGTTGACGTGCTGGAATCTGACAAGTTATTATGAATGAAAAACTCTTTCATCAAAAATGTCTATTGCAGAGCACTATAGTTAGCAGTAAAAGTGAAGGACTTATCATTAAATTTTTAATGCTTCATCAATAATTCTTCTTTGGTGATTCTAGCCCATCAGTACCTAACACATCAAACCAATTTTCCTCGCTGACCTATCTTATCTTATTGTATTTTAATTGATTGGAGACAGGGTCTCATTCTGTCATGCAGTGGCACGATCACAGCTCACTGCAACTTCGACCTCCTGGGCTCAAGCAATCCTCCCACATCAGCCTTCTGACCATAGGCATGTGCCATCACACCCTGCTATTTTTTATATTTTTTGGTAGACATGGGGTTTCTCTTTCTTGCTCAAGCTAATTTCAAACTCCTGGGATCAAGCAGTCCTCCCACCTCGGCCTTCCAAAGTGCTGCAATTACAGTTGTGAGCCACCACACCAGGCCTGTCTCATTTTAAAGAAAAAACAAAATAACACCAGTTCCATAGAATCCAAGAGTACCAACATTCTAATTTTTTAGGTTGATTTATGTATACCTACTATGTGTGCAGATTATATGTATGGTATGTATGTAGATAGCATAACGAGGCAATCACTTTGCTCAATACCAATCAGAGGGTTTTGTTGTTGTTGTTGTTGTTTTTAAATGTGCAACACTGACCATGACCTCATTCTGTAAGAAGTCTTTATCTATGAAACTATATTCACTTTCCTTATGGAAGTTCACAATTCTGCCTTAATCCTCCTAGAAAATTTTTCTTCTTAATACAATTAATTTTATTTAAATAATTGTTTATCACACTGTAGTTAGGTAGACATGTTTTGAAAATGATATAAAATACACAGGACTAATCCAAACACTGAAGTTGGAAATAGAAACCACAGATCCAAACATCTTTAACTATCCATGTATTTGGGTAGACTAAATAGACATGAGACATATACAGAATTCTGTAACACTAAAAATGCTACTTTATTTGAAATTACCCCCACTCCCCATTATGTGAAATAAAAATACTATTTAATGAAAAACTCACCATATCTGTATCTGAGACAGGGCCAAAACTGGTCACGTAGATGTTAGTGAAGACTTCAGTAATACTGTCTGATATGAGAAAAGAGATTGAATATAGATATTATAAAATAAGAGCCACAGGAGAGAGAAGGGTTTGAGTACACGGTATGGTTTGAACGCTGTATCATAAATTTGGGATTACTGGGTTTTACTTTCTTGTCAACTTTCGCAACCATAATGACTATAATGCTCAGTTATTTCATTGGTTTTCACCATCCTAACTGCAAAATGTATAGAAGTATTACGACTTTCTTACTTGGAAACCATACCTGATTAGCACATCCTCATTTATATTGCTCAAAATGAATAGTTTCTTAGGAAACATCATAAGTGAAACAGTTTATAATAAATATATTACAGTACTAAAAATAAAGTATGGTATTGTTTGATATAATCCTAAATTTGATGTTTCAACTAAATATTTCAGTATCTCATGATGGTAAAGATTCAATTTACAGATTGTAAATCAGTACATCTTCTCCATACAGCACAAAACAGCTTGGTAATTATAAATAAACATAATTCCAATTAATATAAAAAGCTTTATCATTCAGTGACATAAAAATTAAAAAAATAACAGATTACTTTCAAACAAGCTTGCTTTTAAATGTATTTAAGAATGTCTGCAATGCTAAGACTGAACTAAATTGGATTCTAAAATTATGTAACATCATAACTGTAATACAATTAACTGGAGTTCTCTATTAACTAGTTAATTTAGATCAAAATTTTAAATAAGCCAAATGGTGATGGGGAAAAGGTCAAAGAAAAGATCGAAAAACAAAAATCTTTTCACTGCTCTTGTAGTAGAAAAAAAAACATATCATTAATGTTTATCATCATGAGCGAAATGTCTTATTCATTAGCTGTCAGATTTATAATTCTACGTAAACAATAACATGAATTGTTTTTCTTATTATACTAGACATTAATTTACAACCATCAAAGAGACTAAACTATGTCTGGGATTTTGCATCCATTAAGGCAAGAATAAAAAATAGAAAGAATATTGATAAAACAGGGTAGACTTTGAATGCTACTACATAGCAGGTACTCTTTAAAGCACCTGAAATATCATAATCTGCATGTCAACTGTATGTGGTAGATTCTCTGTTATCCCTATGCATGTGTACAACGATTCAAAGAAAGGTAAGCAAACTTGCCAAAGACCCACAGCTAGCAGAGTAGATAGAGCAATGATTTATAACCCAAGCAATCTAGTTTCTGAGTACTCAAGCTAAATCAAAGCGTCATACCATAGTCAGTGATAAACTTAAAACTAACAGTAGTTTCTTATTAAACGCATGTTTCTATTCACCAGAATACTCCGTGCCAAAGGCATAGTTATAGTGCTCCAAATAAATACGTTCAGTAAATTTTGTTGTATACACTACTTCATCCCTAAAACTGTATTTTTGAAGTTCTATTGTAAAAGCATTTGAAAATAAATTTATGAAATAATATCAGATGCCACCTACCCCAAAGACCAGCTCAGGAGCAGCTTTCTGGGTATAAAAAGTCCCATAGGATCCTGAGTTCAGAAGAGTCCCATGCGTAATTTAATGGTCTATCTGCGCTTTCTTTAAAAATCTTAATTATTTTTTAAACAAAGCGTCCTGTATTTTCATTTTGGACTGGGCATCACAAATTATGTAGCTGGTCCTGTTCTTGAATTTATATATACTAGAAAGCAATCGTGGAAATGAGAACCAACATTTTTTTGTCCTTTTACCCACACCAAATTAGTCACACTATTACATTTATTCAATTAGTAACTAGATAAACCTTTGTAATAGCTGTTGACCTAAAATGTTCCAGAGAAGAGAAATTAAAATGTGAAGGTAAGCTTTTACTCTAAGAGAAGAAAGTGAAATGATTCTCCTTAGTTTAAGTAGTAGAGTCCAAGAAATTACAAAAATGTGTGAATGTATTGATGCTAATGATATGAATAATATTCACTATATGCCAAATGGCAAGTAAAGGGTAAAGGGGTATCAGTACCTAGTGGCTATAAAGAGGTTTCAGCTAAGAACTGACATGAAAAATAAGGTTAGTCTCAAAACTCTAAGCAGCAAGAGAAACACCTAAGACTCAGAACATAGATATAAAAAGTTATTTTTAGAAAAAGAAATGGTTTCATGGATTACTGACTTCATAAGCATAGCTAAATAATGTATGCATTGGGGAGATATTGTCCTGCTATGGAAGTTCAGAAAAAGGAAAATCAGCAAGCCAGACACTGACGATGAACATCCAGTAGTGTCTAAGGGAAAGGTATTCTTAGCAATGAGTTTTCTTTTTTTTTTTTTGTTTAGATTTCAATATGGATGGATGCGCAGAGCTGTAAACAACTAACATGGGCTAATGAAATATTTTAGTGTAATGAGTATAGATATTCGATATATCTAACACAATCTTCTAGAATTCTATGATCAAAACTCAATCTTTGATTATATTTTGGCTTTCCATAGACAAGGAAAGGGAAGTGAACAAAGGAAAAAGGAAAAGAAAGGAATGGAGGGGAATGGAGGCTAGGGAGATTATATGAATGTAGGCTATTTCCTGTAGAATACAGGTTATTCTAATCTTGTGACTCTGATTTGTCAAGACATTTTATAGTATCATCTGCTTATGTTTGTTTTCCCATGTGGATTTGGAACAGGGTGGATTTGTGCTATTAATGCCTGTTACGATATTCTGATCCATTGAAAAGATGTATGTTACAGAGTAAACAAGTGAATTTATAGTCTGGTGGCAACCTGAGTCTCTGTGTATTTTAGGTACCATGATTCACTCTTCAGTCTTGATCACTATTTTTGTTTGTTTGTTTTTGTTTTTCAGATGGAGTTTCGCTCTTATTGCCCAGGCTGGAGTGGATTGGTGTGATCTCAGCTGACTGCAACCTCTGCCTCCAGGGTTCAAATGATTCTTCTGCCTCGGCCTCCCAAGTAGCTGGGACCACAGGCGCTCACCACCACACCTGGCTAGTTTTTGTATTTTTAGTAGAGACGGAGTTTCACCATGTTGGCCAGGCTAGTTTCAAACTCCTAACCTCAGGTGATCCACACTCCTGGGCCCCCCAAAGCACTAGGATTACAGGCATGTGCCACCGTGCCTGGCCCTGATCACTCTTAGTTGACACACCAAGATCTGTTCTGACTCAGAGCTTTCAAAATGGCTATTATCTCTCATTTTCTCTTTGGTTAATTGTTACTCTTCATTTAAGTCTCAGTTTAAATGCTCTCTCTCCAGAGTAGGAGTTCATAATCCCCTATAAAGCCCTCGTCTCTCATTTTTGCTCTCTGACACTTTCTTTTTATGGGAACTTTCAACCTTGCTGTTCTTTTAATGCCTTAAGATATCCTTCTTCCTTTTAGTTTTGTGTTTGGTCTGTCTCCCCATCCAAGATTTAAGCTCCACAAAGAAGGGGACTGCACCATTTCTGTTCACTATTATGTCACGAGTGCTTACTACAATGTATATCACATGTTACATATTGTATGTTTGAACAAATTATTTCTCATTTTAATTAATGTAGAACATCAATCTTTTTCCAAAATATTTCATCAACGTTAAAAGTGATCATGCACAGCTATTGCTAGTTGAGGAAAGGATGCCCGTCATTTGTGAAGGCAGAGCCCAAACTTTCCATTGACAAAGGCAGGTCGAGAGTCTAAGTAATAGGCTTCCAGTGAAGTAACAAAGCTGAGCAAAGGGAAAGAATGTACTTGAAGACAGCACTGATTCACTGCAAACCAAAATTGAAGTCTGAACAGTTAAGCAGCTCCTAGCAGAAATATCCACCATTAGTTACCTCAGAATAATGGTTTGCCAGCTAAGTAGTTGACATGAGAAATACCAAGAGTAATATGCAAAAGTAAAAGGATGTTCTGTATAGATTTCTCCAGAGGCAAAATACAAGGTTGATAACAGGTACTTTAGGAAAAATAAGTAATGTATGTGGCATACCTAGAAGAACGTATAGTCCTTAGAGCAGTCGTCAAATTCAGGATGGTGAAAGAGGACAAGGAACAGCCTGCAGACATGTACTGAGGAACACATAATGTATTCCTAATATTTCATTATTTTAAAATTAATTCTAAACAATTTTGACAAAATCTTAACATATGATGGTGGTGGTCATTGTTAATCTTATTCTTCTGTGTACTTCTCTGATTTTTTTAAACTGATTCACAGAAAAAATAAATGGCCTGAAAGGATATCCAAAATGCGCATATAAGTAATTTCAAGAAGGGTTTCATTAATGAAAAATTGCTTTTTGCTCAGAAATGCAGCGTAGAATAACAATAAAAACTTCTTTAAAAATCTTTGCAAAACTAAGAAAGAACAAAATTAATGCTCGATTATGATTTATTTTACAAGACTCACTTAAAATAGATGGTTGGGGATAAAAAGTGAGTAAAGCAAAACATCTACCTGTGAAAGATTCACAACATAATAGAAAAAGAAACATTTAAGAAATTGTAACCCAAGAAACGTCTGCTGCAACCAAACCAAAAAGATAATATCTCAATGTCCATAGAAGCATGTTGGAGAAAAACATGGAGGTTTCACTCTTTCGTAATTTTCAATGGTCCTGATTCAAGGCAGAGAAACTCCTTTGTGCAAAAGTCAAGTCCCACAAATAGTTAACTTTTACTCATAAACATGGTTAACATGCATGTACAGAGGATGTGATGAGGTTGTAAACAAAGGCAGAGTTGTATCAAACAGACCTGACATGCCAAAATAATATGAATATTGTCTTTATATACATGGCAGCAAGGGATTCACTGAAGGACTTTGACTTGGAGAATTTTGTGGCTAGGGCTGTTACCACATATATTATGTTACATTTATATAGGGCAAGCCAAGACAAAGTAGACTGAAGACAATGTATTCAGTGTGGAACATAATGCCATTGTTAAGACCAAAGAAAAAGAAATACGATCAAGATTAGGAAATGGTAGAAGTCAAGGGAAAAATTTGTTTTATTTTTTTTTTAATTTTTTTATATTTTTTATTTTTTT